ACACAACCCTGTCAGAAATTAAAGACAAATATATTACTCCCAAGAGTTAACCATCCTCTTCAGCAAGCCTTGGAAAATCTTCAGAGTACAAACAAAATAGATTGCCACTTTTTCTAATGATCAGAATGACAGCTTTTATTTAAAGTCATTCTAAAATGAAATTTATCACTAAAAAGAAGACTAATGAGTCTATGTATCATTTTTACTATTTTAAGTAAGATATTTTTAAGAGGACCTTTTATAATTAGATCTCTCTTCCAAATTTATTGGTTGTATTTCTTTCTATTTAAAAAGTCAAAAACATTAAAAAATTTTAAAAGTCAAATTTAGCCTAAGTTTTTTAAAATTTCTTCTACTTAGAAGCATTGTGTTAATGCAGAAATAATGCAAGAAAAGGCTGGGGTAGCTTAACCATGCACGGGTCCAGCTACCCATTTTTATGTACAAGATGTGGTTTTGCCAATATACACGACTTAATTTTTTTCTCTTAAAGTGAAAGAAGCCCTGGCCCGGTGGCTCATTTGTTTGGAGCGTTGTCCCTTAAATCAAAAGGTGGCCAGTTTGGTCAGGGCTGGTGCTGGAGGCAACCAATTGATGTTTTTCTCTCACATCAATGTTTCTCCCCCCACCCCCTTTCTAAAAACCATAAAAACTTATTCTTGGGTGAGGATTTTTAAAAAAAGGAAAGAAATTAACTCACCCAACCCCCTCCCAACAGGCCAGCTCCCCGAGTGAGTAGTCCTTCAGTAACTGGATCATCTCAGCACAGGGCATGCTGGGTGGGCAGTCACAGCCAAATGGGAGCCGGCATGGCTGGACTCAGGGGAATCTGAAAAAGTATAAAACCACTTATGTGCTAAGGGTCTCCCCTAGCCCCCAGTCAGCAAAAGTAATCTACCAGAGTAGTGAATAGAAAGGGAGAAAAGTAAATAGATGTCTGGATTGTATTACTACAGTTTGGGGCAAAGACTCTTCCTAATTGCTAAACAAGAAAAAATATTTCTGTCTCAAAACATGAGAGGCTGTTAAGAAAAATAGTGTATACAATTCCATACTTGTTCCCTGTCATCACAAACAAACCACTACCACAAATAAGAAAATCTAATAAGATAAAAATAAAGAACCTTTATTTAGAGAAGTTCATTCAGATGCTAAATTTAACATACTAGTAAAGAGCAAAAATCATAAATTAGAAAATGTTGGCACTGTATATTTTGATCCTTATTTCATTCTTCTCATTCACCTTAGGAATTTCAAGATAACATTCATATAATGGGCTTATCTCAAATGCCTAGATGCCTTTATCAGCAAATTTGTGAAATGTGTTACTATAAAATATAAGTGCTTTGAAAAATAATATAATTTACTTTGAATACTTCTGCTCTAGTCTCCACTTCATAAACAAACTTTAAGAGCTAAAATTTAAAGAAAAATCTTAGGGCTATGAACACTTACTTGAAACATTAGTTATTAGGAGAGATAAGAAACATCTTTCTTTTAAAATACATAATTAATATCACTAGTAATGTGACAAGATTACATCACGTGCCTTCTCATACAACTCACTGAGAAGAATACAACATTATTTTTGTGGCATTCCTACCAAAAATTCATAGACTAAATCTACTCATGAGAAAATAAATCCATATTGAAGAACATAAGAGGTTGTTAAAAGACAAAGAAAAGTTGAGGGATTGTTCTGGATTAGAGATTAAAAAGACATAATAAGTAACATGTAAATGGTTCCTACTGAAACCAAAACAAAATTGAAGGGTGGAGGGGAGGCTAAAAGGACAATAATAGGATAAATGGCAAATTTTGAGTAAAAACTGTAGATCAAGTTAATTTATTGATTTGATAATTATACTAGAGTTATATTAGAAGTCACCCTTGTTTTTAGGAAACACATATTCAAGTACTTTTTAAAAGGGGATCCTGTCACCCTGGCCAGTGTGGGTCAGTGGTAAGAGCATCAGCTCATGGAAGGATCTTGGGTTCAATTCCTGTCCCTCCATGGCACGTACAAGAGCCAACCAGTTAAGGTATCTCTCTCACATTGATGTCTCTCTGTGTGTGTCTCTCTCTCCCTCCCCTACCCTACCTCCCTCTCTTTTATTCTCTCCAAAAAGCAATGGAAAAAATATCCTCAGGTAAGGATTAACAAAAAATGGTAATCCTATTTTATAAACTACTCGCAAATGTCTCAGAAAAGAAAAATTTTTGTATGTATGTATGTATGTATTAAAAATAACAAATATGGCCGAAACCGGTTTGGCTCAGTGGATAGAGCGTCGGCTTGGGGACTGAAGGGACCCGGGTTCGATTCAGGTCAAGGGCATGTACCTTGGTTGCGGGCATATCCCCAGTAGGGGGTGTGCAAGAGGCAGATGATCGATGACTCTCTCTCATTGATGTTTCTAACTCTCTATCTTTCTCCCTTCCTCTCTGTACAAAAATCAATAAAATATATTAAAAAAAAAAAAAAAGAAAGAAAAGAAAGAAAATAAGAAATATGGTTAGCCAAAACCGGTTTGGCTCAGTGGATAGAGTGTCGGTCTGCGGACTGAAAGGTCCCAGGTTCAATTCCGGTCAAGGGCATGTATCTTGGTTGCAAGCACATCCCCAGTAAGGGGTATGCAGGAGGCAGCTGATCAATATTTCTCTCTCCTTGATGTTTCTGGCTCTTTATCCTTCTCCCTTCCTCTCTGTAAAAAATCAATAAAATAGCCGAGACCAGTTTGGCTCAGTGGATAGAGAGTCTGCCCGAAGACTGAAGGGTCCCAGGTTCATTAAAAAAAAAAAAAAAAATTTAAAGAGCATAATGGAAGATAATACTTAATCATGCTGGTCTAGAATAAGAAAACATGCTAAATGCTGAATTACGGTTAGAGGTTTCTATCAATGTTTAAATAAATAAATGTATATAAATAAATAAATTTATTTATTTCTCAATATACTTTTGTCAACAAAATCAACCTAAGATAATTGCAATAATTTAGTTACATGACTAGAGATATCCTTAGTTTTTCACAATTAAAAACAAGGGAGGCATCAATAATAAAAAATATATTTAAAAAAATACATTTTTAGAGAGAGTGGATCTAACTTTTTTTTAAATTAAATTATCTGTGTACATATCTTACTATTCCCCCCCACCTCATCTAACTTTTTCATTCAGTAAACTCCAAAGACCATTTTACCCATAAATACTCAGTCCTTTCATTTTATTCACATACTCCTAACCGGTTTTAATCAGTGGATAGAGTGCCAGCCTTTGGACTCAAGGGTCCCAGGTTTGATTCCAGTCAAGGGCATGTACCTTGGTTGCAGGCACATCCCCAGTAGAGGCAACTGATCAATATTTCTAGCTCTCTCTCTCTTCCTCTCTGTACAAAAAAATCAGTAAAATATATTTTTTAAAAAACAAGGAGGATGTATGGGAGTGGGGAGCACTGGTAAAATATGTACACAGGTAATAATTTAATAAAAAAAAATTTAAAAGAAAAAAAAAAGGAGGACATGGAACAGACCGACATACCTTGATGTGGGGTTGGAGGAACAAGATGAAATAAACCAAAAAACATATATACTTATATGCATAGCCATGGACATGAGCAATAGGGTAGTGAAGATTTTGGTGTAGGTGTGGGGTGGGGGACAGGGTTAAGAGGGGAATGAGAAAGGGGAGGAAAGGGGGAAATGGGAGATAGCTGTAATACTATCAACAATAAAAAGTACATTAAAAACTAACCATCAAACAAACGAGGAAGCCTCAGTGGTTGACCATTGACCTATGACCAGGGCACATGGTCAGGTTTGCAGACTTGATCCCCAGTGGGGATCGTGCAGAGGCAGCCAACAATGATTCTCTCTCATTATTGATGTTTCTTTCTATCTCCCTCTCCCTTCCTCTCTGAAATCAATAAAAAATATACATTTTTTAAAAAGGAAGGGGGTGCTCTCCCTCCTGAAAGTATGCCTTTTCCTTCTTTTCCCTTCCCTCTCCCAACCTCTTTCTGCCCTAGATTCCTGGCTTGTTATCATTAGCTTCTTCACTCCCAAATTCCAACGGCCCTTCCTTTACCTCCATAACTTGTTTCCTAAGCGCATTTCTTCTAGGAATTACTATTTCTACACCTGTAATTTACCCAATAAATGTTCTCTTACCAAAAAATTAATAAATAAATAAGGTGGGGGAGAAAAATCCTAGAACTCAAACTTTATTTTAAAGGACAAGGGGCTCTCCTTCCCCTTCTGGCCCAGAGTCGAAGATGAAAACATCAGTATGCAAATAATAAAGTAAATTTACCAACACAAGAAGCATAAATACTATCATAACCTACATAAAAAAAAACCTCACAAACTACATTATAATAGCATTGGAGAAACTTTAGGATGGAAAAGATAACCAGAAATTGAAGGACAATGTGTTGGCTTTTGTTATTCACTTTATATTCCTTCTAATTAGGCTAGCCTCTGTTTCTGGAAAATAAGATTAAGATATTTTTACATACTATACAACTTCATAATAATGTTCTGAAGATCAATTGAAATAATGAAAAAACATGTTCTCAAGAGGAAAATCCTAAATTTTCTACTCACCTGACATACAAAGTAATACTCATTCCAAGTCCTTTTTCAAGGCTACTAGTATATTTGGTTATCTTTTCTGATGTATAAAATTAGTTTTCATTTTTAGGATTAAATTTGCAAACTTTGTATTTATACCATACCTCATTACAAGAAGGGTCTGAGGTTAAAAAGTACATGTATGTAATTTGCTTCTTAGTTATGTAAAAAATAAATTGAAGTAGGGGAGATACTCAATGTTACCTCTCCCCACCAACCCCTTAGATCACAACCTATATGAAATAGATATCAGAAAATTTCTGAATTCCTAATCTGATGTTCAAGCTCAAAATCTGCTATTGGACCCATCTGGGAAAACAAACTCATTTAATAGTGTTCTATCCTGCTGTCCAAAAATTAAGTGACCTTACCTTGTATGGATCAAGTAAAAAGTCACTGAACTTGCTAGGTAGGGAATATTTCTTCACCAATTCATCTTCTACCACCCAAGGTGCATTTTCACCAGTGCCAGCCCGTAAGGCATTATGCCGTATAAAGTATCGAAGTATCTCCTTATTTGGTGGGCGTTCTGTACGAATCAAGCTGTCTGCTGGCACATTACTGATGATCTAGGTTAACAAATATAAACAACACATCACTATAGTGAAAGAACAACTAAGCAATGAGAACAAAGATTTATGGTCTCTCCAGAAAAATCATAATTCCATCCAAAAAATAAAGCTATAAAACCAGGAAGAAAAAGAATAATTGTCAGAGACAGAATGTTAATTAATCCCCAGGCAATCTGTCCATATGTATCAAAGTCCTAAAAATATATATACTCACTGAATCAACAAATTCTCATATTAAAAAATTTGAAAATAAATGAACCAGTCATCAACTGCTTATAAAAGTAGAAAAAAGGGTGGGAGAACTACCTAAATATCTCCCATAGACGAAGCCGGTTTGGCTCAGTGGTAGAGCATCGGTCTGCGGAATGAAAGGTCCCAGGTTTGATTCCAGTCAGGGGCATGTACATTGGTTGCTGGCACATCCCCGGTAGGGGGTGTGCAAGAGGCAGCTGGCCAATGTTTCTCTCATCGACGTTTCTAGCTCTCTATCTCTCTCCCTTCCTCTCTGTAAAAAATCAATAATATATATTTAAAAATAAAATGTCTGGCAGTAGAGCCTGAGTATCCACTTTTTTTTTTTTTCCTGTTTTACTTTTATTACTTACTAGAGGACTAGAGCACAAATTCATGCATGGGTGGGGGGCTGATCTTGTGCAGGGCTGGCCCAGGAGAGGAGCCCCGGGCATTTGGCTGACTGGCCCTGCCCACAATGGGGAGGATGGGAACAGGGGGCGCCTAAGGGAGGTTGGCTGCTATAATGCATACGTCATTAGCAACTGGCTGTCATAGCAACCAGTCAATCCATGGTTCTGGTAGCTTGGCTTTTATGTATATAGATTTTATACTGAATACTCTTGGGCCATTAAGTTTTTTCCAGGGTTTCTTTTTCTTCTTGCCAATTCCTCTTGTGGTTTAGGAACCATCTGGTCTTTCACAGTGAGGATCATCTCAATGTGGCAGGGAGAGCTCATATATAGTTAAACATGTTAAACGCCAAGCCTGTTTTGTCTTCCTTCCCATTTCAGTCACTGGTGACTGACATGGCGCTTTAACATGTTAATCCACAAAAGAGTTCTGTAAGTTCTGCACCACCTCTTGGGAGCTTTGTTCACCTGGATGTGTCCATGCCCAGAGAATCTACACCTAAACCCTAAAGTTCAGCATTATTCTCTGCATTTTTAAACATGTGCAGCGAAAATTCGGCACTTTTTGGGCCACAGACCCTGTGTCCAGCCTCACTGTTTGGACTGGACACATTCACCCATTCATCATTGTAACAATGGAATGACACATATTACTTCTGTAAATTGATATCCTTCAGATACTTGGTGATTTTTCAAATATGCATACCCTCAATGGCCTGGGCAGTTTCACATGTTCTTAAAGTGAACTTAAAAATTTGAACTTCCTGCCGAAATCGGTTTGGCTCAGTGGATAGAGCGTTGGCCTGTGGCCTAAAGGGTCGCGGTCACGGGGGAGCAGCCGGGTCGGGTGCGGCCAGGCCCGGAGCAGTGGCTGCCAGGCTGGGAGCGGCCAGGCCCGGGGGGAGCAGGCGGGTCGGGTGCGGCCAGGCCCGGAGCAGCGGCGGCCAGGCTGGGAGCGGCCAGGCCCAGAGCAGCAGCAGCCAAGTCCAGAGCAACTAGGTCGGGAGCGGCAGTGACCAGACCCGGAACAGCTGGTTGTGGAATGAACCAGAGCAACAGATGCCAGGCCCTGAGCAGCCAGGCCCAGAACAGCTCACTCCTTGCCTGCCCCTGCCCCACGGCTGCTTCTCAGACATGGCTGGAAACTTTCGTGGGAACTTGAGGGTCTACTGAATCAAGTGATGAAGGCTTAGATCTGGATGTGTTGAGTTAGTTTAGGACTGGGGTGTTGATCTGTGAGTGCCTTGGGTGGGGCCTGGATGAGGCTGGTGGACCTATTGGGAAATGTCTTTTGTGTGAAGTGTATCATTGGGCATGTTGAGGTATTATTGATATGAGAAAATGCTAAGTAACTGATTTACTATCCGAAAAGGGATTTACTATTGGGGAAATTGAGGGAAGAAGAGACTGAACATAAACTGCACCTATGGATGAGGACAATGGGGGATGGGGAGGGGGCGGAGGGTGGGGTGGGAACCTGGCGGAGGGGGGAAGAAATGAGGAACCTTTGTAATAATATGAACAATAAAGATTGATTTATAAAATAAAAAATAAAAATAAATAAAAATAAATAAAAAAATAAAGGGTCGCAGTCAAGGGCATGTACCTTGGCTGCGGGTACATCCCCAGTAGGGGGTGTGTAAGAGGCAGTTGGTCGATGTTTCTCTCTCATCGACGTTTCTAACTTTCTATTTCTCTTCCTTCCTCTCTGTAAAAATCAATAAAATATATTTTTAAAAAAAATTTGAACTTCCTGATTTGCATGATTCTGTGGGGTTTCTGGGTCAAGTGATCTGGCTGCTTTTGGAAAGAGCTACTACACCACATATACACCACAACTTGAAAATACTGTTTTCAAAGAATGTTACAGATAGTTACCAGAGAGAAAAATGAAAAAAGCTACAAAATAGTATGTATAAATTATTCCTACTTTTAATTCTTTTTATAATTTTTTATTTCATAGAGGGAGATAGAAACATCAATGTCAAGAGAGAATCATCAATTGGCTGCTTCTGGGTATCAGGCCTGCCACCTGGGCATATGCCCTGACCAGAAATCAAACTCTGACCCCCTGGTTCATGGGTTGACACTCAAACTCTGAATCTTACGGTCAGGGCAAATATTCCTACTTTCAAAAGTCACTTAAAAGCTAACAACCACCATTAATCACAACTATATTCAATTATCATCATCTGTGATTCAAGATGTCTTTTTTCTTATTTTTATTTTCCAGCTTCCTATGAACAGTATTTACTACATGTGAACAAAACAATTTATATTCAACAATAATATGAGTAATAACTAAGACTAAAGAACTAGAAAACCACTCAGAATTTGTTGCAGAAACACATTCATTTATATTTTTCTTTAGCACATTTTCTCTAAGAAAGCCAGCCCTATGATATTTTCTTAAACAACATCTATTATATGTTATAGGGTTAACATAAAGTACCAACTAACCTTATCTTCATTTTGTAGTTTCACATCATATTTGTGAGGCAGAAATTTTGGAGGAACCCATTTCCTTTCTCCTTTCTTTAATGAAGTAGGGAGTTTTCGTGGAGATCTACGTGCTCTGTCATCTAGTCAAATCATTAGAAAATTAGTGAAAATAAGAATTCTTTTTATTCGATTCATTCATTCATTCATTCATTCATTCATACATCTCTTATTGAACGAACACCTACTCTGTATCAGGCACTGAATGATGGGGCACCAAGATGATTCATAAAATTCCTACCTGAACTAGCTAAAGTCTATGGGCAGAGTCAACAACAATTATAATACAATGTGGTAAATACTATTAAAGAGGTGGGTACACAAAGATAATATGAGAGAGCAGCAATGTTAAACTTAGGAAGATAGGCAGAAAGGGCCTAGAAAGAACATGACTTGTTCAGAGACTCAAATAATGAGGTGTGGGTAAATATAATTGGGACTACAGTAAAAAATCAGACTAAAGAAGTAAGGAGGGCAAACTATAAAGAACCTGTATACTATTTAAAGAAATTGGAATTAATCTTGTGAGCTCTTGGAAAACAAAGAATTTTTGGTCTAAGAAAGCAGATGCATATTTTCTAAAGATGGCAAAAAGGACAGATAAGGATTAGGGTTAGGGGCATGGTTAAGGGAAATTGTGGCATCAACTAAGTTAAAGGTATGACTGTGACCAACAGTGTTAAATGTAACAGAAAAGCAAAACATAGATGAAATCAGTGGAATTAGCGAGTAGGGGGTTACCTAAAATCTTATTAGCAACAATGTCAGGAGTAGTAAAGAAGCAGAAGTTAAATTATAATAGCACAATAAGTGGAGACACCATCTCATAATCTTGGTTTGAATGAATAAGACAGAAATGAAACAACAGAATCAAGGGAGGATATGCTGTTTTTGAAAATGGGGCTTCATTTTTGAAAAAACCCCAACACATTGGAGAGAGGGTTAAAAAACACTGTAGAGTAGAAAAATAAAAGTTAACTCTATGGAAGAATAAAGAAATTTAAAACAGGGAGGTTAAGAACAAGCTGAAAGTTTTTGTCTAATACATTTTCCCCCATAAAGTAGAACGAAAGGTCACCTAGTGAGAAAAGATTTAGTATGCTGGAATTTGCCTATCATTTCTCTAGAAAGTTTAATCAATTTTCCCCCTGAAAACTCAGTAGACATCATAACATTAATTCTTCAGCCTGTCCACCACCCTTTCCACATACTAGCAATAGTATTATATATATTACCATAATTAAAAACTAAATTAAGGCATATAATACTCATTAAAAAAAAAACAAAGCCTAAAACTAGAAGTTCCCTTGTACATGGTGCCAAAGTCATAAAATTAACAATTGTTAACATATTGTTAGTAGTTCAAGGATCTGTTTCCAGAAGAAGTGTTAGAAGACAAATTATCAGGCACCGCCTAACCAAAAAATTTATTAACATTAAGTCACGGGAATATTAAGTAATGAACATATTAGAAAAGTTCAGTACCAAAAAGAAGAGAGAAACTGAAAAACATTAGCATTCATAATATAGAGTGGAAAACAAAACTGAAGTATCAACAACTGGGGTGAACCAGCTACAACAGTTAAGTATCCTTGGGGAAATTTTAATTATCCCTGGGACTAGATAAGGAAGTCCCTCTAAAACACATCTGCACATATCCAAAATATCTGGAAAGATAAAATAGAAAACAGAGAGCATAGCACTCTAATATGACATTTTAATTCAAACTGTGTAGGTAACACTTAAATAAAAGGTTAAGATTATTTGATCCTCTAACAGTCATGGGGAGGAGGATCAATATACACAAATCCTTCGAGTACTCATATTTTAAGACAGAAATAATCTCTTCCAGTCAAATTCTTTTATTTACACTTTTTTTTTTTTTCAAAATGAAGGTTTCAGAGGCTGAATAATTTTCCTAATGGGCAAAATCTCAATTCTTCAATTTTTCAAACAGTATTGTTAAAATCGCCAAGTCCCAAAAAATTACTTTTAGACATCATAATGTTTCAAAATTTTGGCAGCTCCCATGTGGAAGGGACTTACGTTACAGGATTTAGATAAAAGGAAGTAACTTAAAATTACCAAAACTGGCTTGCACGGTGAGGAGAAATGGAGATTAGAATTTGCCCTTTATTCTAAACTTGCTTCTCCATACACAGACATACGTATCCTTTGCCATCTTGAATAGCTAGGTGTGTGCACATATATTTTTAAGAGGAAATGCCTTTCCAAGAAAGACTTAATTCTTTATTTGGATTTTTTTTTTTCCTTTTTTTTCTTTTTGGTTAATCCTCACCCATGGATATTTTTTCCATTGATTTTTTTTTTTTTTAAGAGAGTGAAAGGGAGCTAGGGAGAGAGGGACAGAGGCAGGGTAAGAAGGGGAAAGGGAAAGAGAGAGAGACAGACAGACAGACATAGACCAGTTACTGCACACACCCTGACTATAGCCAGGGATTGAACCTGCAACCCAGGTCATGTCCTTGACTAGAATGGAACCCAAGAACTTTTGGTGCATGGGGCAATGCTCTAAACACTGAGCACACCAGCCAAGGCTCTTTGTATTTTAGTTGTTAGCACAAAAGAAAGGCATATTTACCTACAAAACTCATTTACAAATCACAAATTACTTGTTAGAGAACTCAAAAAGATTTGTGTATAATAAGAGTCACAAAGGAAAGCTAGCATCATACATACTAATATTCTCTCTCCTTCCTTCATCCTCTTTTACAACTGTCTCCTTCTTCTGGTGCTCCTGAGCAATTTGGCTAGAATTCTCTTTGTCACTTGAGGGAGAATCACAAGCACCATCAGGTTTCTTTTCAGTGGCTTCTTCGTCCACTTTCTCCAAAGGATGAATCTTCACAATCCTTACCTTGAGCATTTTTTCTTTCCCAACCTATAAAAGAGACAGGAATGAGAATATGAGATAATAAATAAAAACTAGAAAACCTAAAGATAATGTTTAGAATATAATAGCTAATAAACATTCCATCCAACACCTAATAAAAATTCACTAAACCTCTGAAGTACCAACCAAGTAGTGATTTTTTTCCAATTTTACTTCTCAAACTTCTGTTAAAAAATGACATATTACATTCTAGCTGTTTTGGCTCAGTGGATAGTGAATCAGCCTGTAGACTGAAGAGTCCAGGGGTCAATCCCGGTCAATGCCCGGGCCGAAACTGGTTTGGCTCAGTGGATAGAGCGTTGGCCTGCGGACTGAAAGGTCCCGGGTTTGATTCTGGTCAAGGGCATGTACCTTGGTTGCGGGCACATCCCCAGTAGGGGCAGAGGCAGCTGATTGATGATTCTCTCTCTCATCAATGTTTCTAACTCTCTATCCCTCTCTCTTCCTCTCTGTAAAAAAATCAATAAAATATATTTTTTTAAAAACATGCCTGGTTGCAGGTTTGATCCCCAGTGGGGAGCATGCAGGAGACAGCTGATCAATGGTTCTCTCTCATCATTGATGTTTCTCTCTCTCTTTCCTTCTCCCTTCCTCTCTGAAATCAATAAAAACATATATTTTTTAATGGCATATTTAGCCCCCTGACTTCATTTCTTCATTCTTTTTCTACAATACTTACATGTTTCTTTATTTTTCAATTAAAGTTAACATTCAATATCATATTAGTTGCAGGTATATACAGCATTGTGATTAGACATTTACATAATTAACAAAGTGATTCCAAGATAAGTCCTGTACTCACCTGACACCATAGTTTTTATTATTGACTATATTCCCTTTGCTGTCCTTTACATCCATCATTCTGTATCTGTCATTTTGTACTTAAGCCCTTCACCTTTTTCACCCAGTAAAATATGACATCTTAAAAAATAAAATTATCGCCAAAACCGGTTTGGCTCAGTGGATAGAGCCTGCGAACTGAAAGGTCCCAGGTTTGGTTCCGGCCAAGGGCATGCACCTTGGTTGCGGGCACATCCTCAGTGGAGAGTGTGCAAGAGGCAGCTGATTGATGTTCTCTCATTGAGGTTTCTAACTCTCTATTCCTCATCCTTCCTCTCTTTAGAAAAATCAATAAAATACATATTTTTAAAAATCAAATGTGTCTGTGGGTGTGTCCATTTCTGGATGCTATATGTTCCACATCTATTTGCTATCCTTATATCAACTTCACACTATATCAATAATTTAAAATTTGAAGCCTCAAAATCAGTCAATATTAGCTTAACTTGGTTGTGCTTCTGCAAAGTTGTTTTAGTTAGCTGGGTTTTTTGTTTGTTTGTTTGTTTGTTTGTTCTGTTTCGCATTTTGAAGTGAATTTTACAATCAGCTTTGCAATTCCCACAAAAAACTGCTGGGATTTTATTGCAATTGTGCTGCATCTACATTATCAACTTGGGAAGAACTGAACAAGATACACCTCTCCATCATTTAAGGTCTTCTTTAATTTCTCTCAGCAATGTTTTATAATTTTTAGGTATAGGTCATGCGCATCTTTTGTCAGGTTTACTCCTATAGTACTTCATAGTTTTTGATGATATTGAATATTGCTTTATTAAATTTCAAATTGTTTTTGCTAACACATACATAAATATAAATACAAATTGGTGTTTGTATATTTATCATGTATCCTGCCACTTATTACTTCTAGAATATTTTTTTTATTGATTTCAGAGAGAAAGTGATAGGGAGAGAAATAGAAACATCAATGAAAATAATTGTTTCCAGAGTCTTAGCATCATCACATATAAGTGGAGTTGGTAAAACTGCAAAATTTTAAAACTTATCCAAAACTTTTTGAACCACATCTAAGGGGATAGGACTCAAGAATGTATATTCTTAAGCCCTTTAGTTTTGTTTTTTTAAATGGGGAAGCATAGAGGATTGATAGACCAGGTTAATAAGATTTTGTCCCTTTATTTTTTTAAATATATTTTATTGATTTTTTAAAGAGAGGGAGAGATATAGAGAGCTAGAAACGTCAATGAGAAACATCGACCAGCTGCTTCTTGCACATCCCCTACTGGGGATGTGCCCACAACTCAGGTACATGCCCTTGACTGGAATCGAACCTGGGACCTTTCAGTCGCAGACTGATGCTCTACCACTGAGCCAAACCGGTTTCAGCAGATTTTGTCCATTTTCTAAAGCCAATGATTAACTGGACCCCCAAGTTGGCATCTGACGTGAGGTTTTATTATCTCCTTGCCTATAGTAATGGTCATAGATAAAGCCTTCTGTGCAAAAAATCTTTCAAGATCAATTATTCAGCTGCTTCCTGTTCAGCTGAGCCAGCTATTATTTCCCAAGAAAGGCAGATTGAACAGGATGATAGGTGTGTAAGGAAAGCATCCTTGTATCTGCGTACATGTCTCTCATTTATCTCTTATCTATCCTCAAGTCTCTGTGTGTCTATTTTTTCTCTCTGCCTCTTGTTTTCATTTGGTGGACTCATAGCTATTAGTTAAGTATGTCCATATCTATGTGTATATGTGTATGTCTGAGATTCCTTGTCAACCTATGATGATCATATCAAACTTGGGAATAAAACTCTTATTCAAATTAGGAAAACAGTATACATCTTATTACTTTTCTAAAGAACTCATTTGTTTTGCACTCTCCTTTTTCTTAATTCCAACCTCATTAACAACTATCAGCTTGTTCTCTGAATCCATGGGTCTATTTCTGTTGTTCATTCCTTTGTTTCTTTAGATTCTACATATAAGTGACATTTTTCTCTGATTTATTTGATTTAGGATAATACCCTCTAGGTCTATCTATATTGTCTCAAATGGCAAGATTTCATTCTTTTTTGTTGCTAAATAATATTATTCCATTGTATATAATATTATTCCATTAGATCATCTTTATCCATTCATCTACTCTAGGTTGCTTTTGGCTATTACTAGTAATCCTTCATCAAACATAGGGGTATATATACATTTAATGTTTTGTTTTCTTAAGATAAATACCCAAAAGTAGAATTGCTGGATCATATGGCAACTCTATTTTTAATTTTTGAGGAATCTCCATACTGTTTTCCATAGTAGCTGCATTCATTTCCAATCCCACCAATAGTATATGAGGGTTCCCTTTTCTCCACATCCTTGCCAGCACTTGTGATTTATTGATGACAGCCATTCTAACATGTGTGAGGCAGTATCTGTTTTAACTTGTATTTCACTGATAATTAGTGATGTTGAGCATACTTTAATGTCTGTTGGCCATCTGTATGTTCTTTTGTGTGTTTTAAAACATATTTTATTTTTATTATTTATTTATTTACTTTTACGCTTCATCCAATAATATTTTTCCATTGATTTTGAGAGAGTGGAAGAAAGAGGGAAAGGCAGATAGAAATATAAATGTGAGAGAAACACATTGATTGGTTGCCTCCTGCATAAGCCCTGAGCAGGGCCTGGGCCAGGGAGGAGCCTGCAACCTAATATTATACATGCCCTTAACCGGAATCTAACCTGAGACCCATCAGTCTGCAGATGCGACACTCTATCCACTGAACCAAACCGGCTAGGGCTGTATGTCCTGTGACAAAAATGTCTGTTAAAATCTTCTGCCTGTTTCTTAAGTTGGATTGCTTGTTTTTTGGTGTTAAGTTGTATAAGTTCCTTTTATATAGTTTGAATATTAATCCCTTACAGATGTATCATTTGCGAATATCTTCTCCCATTCAACAGGCTGTCTTTCCATTTTTAAATATATATATTTTATTGATTTTTTTACATAGAAGAAGAGAGAGGGATAGAGTTAAAAACATGGTTGTATGTTTTTATACTTTATTAATGTAATGTATTACGCTGATTGAGTTATGGATGTTGAACTAGCCTTGCATCCCTGAGATAAATTCCATTTCATCATAGTATATAATTCTTTTAATACATTATTGAATCCAGTTTGCTAATATTTTGCTGAAAATTTTTGCATCTATATTCATCAACATATTGGCCTGTAAGTTTTCCTTTATTTGTAATGTCTTTATTTGGTTTTAGTATCAAGGTAATGCTGGCTTCATAAAATGAGTTTGGAAACATTCCTTCCATATGTATGTATGTATGTATGTATGTATGTATATATGTATATTAATATATTTTTATTGATTTCAGAGAGGAAGGGAGAGGGAGAGATAATGATGAATTATTAATCAGCTGCCTCCTGCTGCCTCAAGCCCCTTTACTGGGAATTGAGCCCAAAACTTGGGCATGTGCCCTTGGGAATGGAACCAGGGACCTTTCAGTCTGCAGGCCAACACTCTATCCACTGAGCCTAACCAGCTAGGGCCTCTTCAATATTTTTAAATAGTTTAAGAATAAGTGATTTTATTTAAGCTAAAGTTTGAGAAGTACTAGCCATTGTTAGATATTTCATTATACAGTTGCAATCACTCATAATTGATACAACAATGTAAACAAACCTATTTAATTATCTGAGGTAATTAAACAAACCTATTTAATTACCTCAACATTTCTGTGCAGAATCTGTAAGACATGTAAAATGACTAGCCCAGTATTCTAAAATTTGGTCTTTATATTTAATACTAAGTAGAGACTTCATATAACACAATTTTATACACACAGATATGCATTCTGTACTCTGCTCAAATCCTGATATATGGTTAGAGTCAAATCTCATTTTTTAAAGAATATAGGCACTTACCTCAAAGTCACACTCTTCTCCCACAGCATATTTGGTCATGATCTCCAACCAAGCAGTATCTACTAACTTCTCTAAGGAGGCTGTATTATGGTGAACCATTTCCAGAACAAGTTTCTCATACCAGGCAGGAAACTCTTCCTTCAAACTAAACAAATGTTATTAATTACCAAGAAAATACAGGAAAGCCTTTCCACAGCTTTAATTCATGTCAATTCAAACATTTCTTTAGCAAATATATGCAAGGCACTAAGGAATACAAAGATTAAAAACCATGAAGTACACAGGAAAAATAACTTATAAATATCTTTGTCAGACTAACCTTTCCAGATTAATTTTTTCATACGTAAAGTAAAAATAATATGCACATCATTAGTAAGGTGGTCATTTTCCCATTAATTTGTTTTTGCAGTAGACTTCCTGTTTTAGGTGTGCATTATTTATTCATATCCTTTTCCCATCTTTTAGTTAGGACATCATAATGCTTGTATTTGTATTATGTCTGAACCAATAATATGCTTTCATTCATTTAGTTCTCTAGAATTTTCATTTCATGGATAAGGAAAATAAATCAGGAAGTTAACATGATGGAACCATGATTTAAACTCCAATGCCCTGGCAAAGTAAAACCATGATGTACCACTTTTCACTTATTAACCTAATAAAAAAATTTTAATTATCATACTCAATATGGGCATATAAATAGTGCAAAGTAACACTCATATACTGCTGATAGCCTACGTTTCAACTCTTTTAAAAAGCAGTTTGAGAGGGATCCAAGATGGCTGCTCGGGTAGACATCTAGCCGCGGCAGCACACAACAATTTCAATGGAATACAACTAAAAAGTAGGGTGGACATTGCCCAGAGCTACAGGTAGTCGACTGACTGAAATTTCTACAACAAGAAGGAAAGAGAAAACCAGAAAGAAAATCAGAGGAGCTGAAAAAAAGCCTAAGGTATGGAGACATGCTGCGCGCGCGCTCGCCCGCACGCACGGAGAGGTCGCAGCCGGAGAGGAGGAGAGGGCGGGGAGCTGCCTTTCCTTCCCTAGCAGGAAGGAAATAAAACCCCCAGCCTGGGCTGAACCCCCGAACCGGAAGCGCTGAGCCCCAGTTATGGGCCAGACCCTGGGAACCCAGGCCCCGGTGGGAGGAGACGGGGCCGTGAGGCGGAAAAAAAACGGTGAAAAGCAGGGCCCCGGGAGTCGCGCGCAATGCGTGCAGAAGACTGAATGTTGACTCTGATGCTGGGTTGCCCTAGCCGGAAGAAACAAGGCCTCCGGCGGCGCTGAGCCTCAGTCCGGACTGCTCCGAACCACAGTTCTGGGCCAATCCCTGGGGACCCAGGCTCAGGCAGAGGGAGACGGGGCTGTGAGGTGGAGTCTGGGGAGAGCGCGAAAGGCCGGGACCCCGGGACTCGCGCAAACTGCGCGCAGAGGACAGTCTGTGGGACTCGCGCAAACTGCGCGCAGAGGACAGTCTGTTGACTCTGATGCTGGACTTCCCTAGCGGGAAGGAGAAAAAAAAAAAGCTCTAGGCTGGGGGAACGCGGAGGGGAGCAGAAGCCCCTGCCAGACTCCAGCCAACCGGGCACCAGCAAGGAGGCGGGCCACGGGGCCCCTGGGGGCATGGGTGCCCCTGAGCCTTTGACCACTGAGCTCGGGCAATGGAGCCAAGGCCGGGAGCTGCTTCCTGGGCGGCACCGTCCCGGCAATAGGCTGAAGCAGTGCAGGAGCCCGCGGAGAACAAAGGGGTGCCACAGGCCAACCTGCTGAGCTCCCAGGACAAGGAGGAAGAAACCAAAGAAGTTCTCAATGTGAAGAAATCAAGTGAGAGCAAAAAATAGTAAAATTACTTAAGAAAGAATACAAAGAAGATCTTGAAAAATCAAAGACTAAGTCAGAACTCAACTCACCAGCCAACATTGCAACATAAATGCGTTTTAAAAAGAAAAAAGAAAAAAAAAAAAAAAAGGACAGAATGTTGGAACAGCGGCGGCCAGGCCTAGAGTGGCCAGGCACAAGGCAGTGGCAGCCAGACCCGGAGCAGCAACGGCCAGGCCCCAGAACAACAGCAGCCAGAATCAGAGCATCAACAGCCAGCACTGGAGTAGCCAGACCTGGGGCAGTGGCAGCCAGGCCTGAGGCGGAGGCTGCCAAGCCCAGGGTGGCCAGTCCAGGAACACCCAGACCCGAAGTGGCCAGGCCCGGAGAAGCCGGGCCCAGAGCAGCCGGGGTGGGAGCAGCCAGACCCAGAACAGCAGTAGCCAAGCCCAGAACATCCAGGTCGGGAGTGGCCAGGCTCGGAGCGGCCGGGCCCGGGGCAGCCGGGCCCAGAGCAGCCGGGTCAGGTGCGGCCAGGCCCGGAGCAGCGGCTGCCAGGCTGGGAGCGGCCAGGCCCGGGGGAGCAGGCGGGTCGGGTGCGGCCAGGCCCGGAGCAGCGGCTGCCAGGCTGGGAGCGGCCAGGCCCGGAGCAGCAGCAGCCAAGTCCAGAGCAACTAGGTCGGGAGCGGCAGTGACCAGACCCGGAGCAGCTGGTTGTGGAATGAACCAGAGCAACAGAGGCCAGGCCCTGAGCAGCCAGGCCTGGAACAGCTCGCTCCTTGCCTGCCCCTGCCCCACGGCTGCTTCTCAGACATGGCTGGAAACTTTCGTGGGAACTTGAGGGTCTGCTGAATCAAGTGATGAAGGCTTAGATCTGGATGTGTTGAGTTAGTTTAGGACTGGGGTGTTGTTGATCTGTGAGTGCCTTGGGTGGGGCCTGGATGAGGCTGGTGGACCTATTGGGAAATGTCTTTTGTGTGAAGTGTATCATTGGGCATGTGGAGGTATTATTGATATGAGAAAATGCTAAGTAACTGATTTACTATCTGAAAAGGGATTTACTATTGGGGAAATTGAGGGAAGAAGAGACTGAACATAAACTGCACCTATGGATGAGGACAATGGGGGATGGTGAGGGGGCAGAGGGTGGGGTGGGAACCTGGTGGAGGGGGGAAGAAATGAGGAACCTTTGTAATAATATGAATAAAGATTAATTTAAAAAAATTAAAAAAAATTAAAAAAAATAAAAAGCAGTTTGAACCCTAGCTGGTTTGGCTCAATGGATAGAATGTCCGCCTGTGGACTGAAGGGTTCCAGATTTGATTCCAACCAAAGGCACATGCCTAGTTTGCAGACTCAATCCCCAGTAGGGGGCATGCAGGAGGGAGTCAATCAATGATTCTCTTTCATCATTGATGTTTCTCTCTCTCTCCCTCTCTCCCCCTTTCTCCTTAAAATCAGTAAAAAATATTTTTTTTAAATAAAATTAAAATGGAGACTATGTCCTGGATCTGTGATCCTGGAGCTTGGAACAGAAAAGCACCAAGAAAAAACAGTTTGAGTCCGGCTGATGTAGCTCAGTGGATTGAGTGTCATCTCATGGATCAAGAGGTCCCAGGTTCGATTTCCAGTCTGGCATATGCCTGGGTTGTGTGCTTCAGGGCATGCGGGAGGCAGCCAATCGATGTGACTCTCATTGAACACAGTCACTCCCATTCAATTATGTATTATTAACTATGGCTATTTTTACTACATAACCTCAGAATTAAATAGCTAAGGCAAAGACCTCAACGAGAACCCAGACCTCAACTAAACCCAGTGTTGTTACACTAGCAAAAGAACAGAATTATATGCTCTCTGCTTATGGGTTATCAGGAAAAGTCAATGAGAAGTCCACAGTAAAAACTTATATTCCAAATTCCCAAAAGAGTAATTTACATCCCTAGTTTCTATTTATCTTTTATGTTCCTAATGCCCAATTCTGAGTGTTTTCTTTGAGAGAATACCAAAACAAGTAGGCACTTTGAATATAGAAAGGAATTTTAAAGACTCCTCATTCAGCCCTGTCCAGTGTGGCTCAGTTGGTTGAGCACTGTCACAAAAGGTCACATGTTCAATTCCTGATCAGGGCACTGCCAGGGTTGCAGGCTCAATCCCCAATAGGGGTAGTGTAGAAGGCAGCTGATTGATATTTCTCTCTCTCCCTCTCTAAAAATTAGTAAGAACATATATATATATTTTTTTAAACAGACTCCTCATTCAACTACTTCACTTAAATAAATGGTCTTTAAATTGTATTTATTTTTGGTAGCTGCTGTAAATAATATCTTAAATTTCAAATGACCACAAAATTTAAAAAATCTTCCCACTTATTTGCTACCTCTATATTACTTCTAGATCATATTTGTATCCATTGTTTAGAACCACCATTTTCAAAATATTTACAGGATAAAAGTATAGAGCAAGAATATTCAAAAGCCTGATAACTACCTAAAAAACTATGTATTCCACATACTTTGTTACTAGAAAAATTCCACGAGGCCAGGGCACTTAGACACTAATAGGATATATTAATGTATTAAATTCCAGTTTTTGCCTGGAATAAACTTTAATATAAATAAACTTTAATATAAATATTGCATTACTCTCTCTATGCCGAAACCGGTTTGGCTCAGTGTATAGAGCATCAGCCTGCGGACTGAAAGGTCCCGGGTTCGATTTCGGTCAAGGGCATGTACTTTGGTTGCAGGCACATCCCCAGTGGGGGATGTGCAAGAGGAAGCTGATAGATGACTCTCTCATGTTTCTAGCTCTCTATCCCTCTCTCTTCCGCTCTGTAAAAAATCAATAAAGTATATTAAAAAAAAAAAAAAAGCAGATATACTTAAAAAAAGATATTGCATTACTCTCTATCCACCCTTTTCTAATAATGTGAAAATGGTACTAGAAAACCAATGTTTATATTACTCACAGTTCAGCAACTTCCTGTTCTTCCTCCCAGGCCTCCTTATGTGTTAGCTGACTACTTCCGGTACTCTTACATGTCCAAATGCGCTCACTGTATCTTTCCAAGCGGGCTTCATATTCTCTGTTAGCAGTGGCTCAGGAAAACAATATTCAAGCAACAGAGACAACTAATCCATATCCATAAAATACTTATTACATATAGAAAAAAACCTACAGTATTCTTTCTATGATATACATATTGAGAAGATAAAATTGAAGTTAATTTTCAATTGGTGAATCCAAACGAGTAAGACTAAAGTATGATCAGAATAGTTTGTCGTGCTTTGCAAATAAAACATGAATATTTTATTACAAATGTGATTCCTTAAATTCCCAAGACTCAAACAGTACTAAAAATGCATAAGAAAAAATAAAGGCAAAAAAACAAAATTTCCAATTTATTGAGAGAAAAATAAAGATTTGAGCATTGTAAAAAAAAAAAAAAAGGGGGGGGTGGGGCAAAATAAGACAAAAAGTCATAAGAAATAAGAATTTAAGGTCTGCGGAATTATTACACAACTAGAGGCCCAGTGCACGAATTTGTGCACAGGTGGGGGTCCCTTGGCCTGGCGGGTGATCAGGATCAATCGAGACAGCAGGAGGTTGGTTGGATGGATGGGCTGCAGGTTGGCTGTGGTGGTGCAGCTCCTTCTTTGAATGTCTTCCCCCTGGTGGTCAGTGCGCATTATAATGACTGGTCAATCGAGCACTTATGCTTTTATGCATATAGATTTAGATGGTCATCAAGTTTAAGAATCAGTTTCATAGGAGGATAAGATTACTATGCCAGTCTTACACATAGTTTGGAATAACCTTGTGCATCTAATGATCCTTTTACCAAAAGACTGGAAGATTTTAGTACCATAGGAACACCTGTTGATTCTTAGAATTTTAAAAAATTTCATAAAAACCCTAAAAATAATTTTAATATCTATAACGTCTTTATGCTACTTACAATAACAATACATTCACAAGTCACTTAGCAGTCACTGTTTAGTCTTTATAAGATGAAAAGGATTTCACAAGTTAGTACCATGTATATAACTTTCTACAATATTCCAACGTGAATTCATTATCAGCCAGCTATGTTCAAATTCAAAATACAGCTAATTCACTTTTTAAAAAAATGTTTTATTGATTTTTTACAGAGAGGAAACGAGAGGGAGACAGAGTTAGAAACATTGATGTGAGAGAAACATCAATCAGTTGCCTCCTGCTTACTGGGGATGTGCTTACAAACAAGGTACATGCCCTTGACCAGAATCAAACCTGGGACCCTTGAGTCCACAGGCCGATGCTCTATCCACAGAGCCAAACCAGTTATGGCTAATTTACTTTTATGCACAGCAACAGATGCTAAGCTAGCAAACAAATTGACAGAAATAAAGAATGTGCTGCCAATCTCTGTACTTTCCAAGTTACTTTATTTTATAGCAGTTGAAATAAAAGTTTTCAAAAAGCTCCCTATGTGATATTAATTCACAAGTAATTTCCTTTTTAATATTTGAAATTCTTGGTTTTCTAGGGTTATGATCAATAACAAGACAAACAGGGACAAAACCACAGAGAATCCAAAACAATAGTTTTAACCCATAGTAAAAGCACCACCTCCAGATCTGACAAAAATGAAGCAACAAATCTATTTCCCTCTCTGGGGATGGTGCTAATCCTATCTAATAAAGAGGGAATGTGCAAATTGACCATCACTCTGTCACAAAGATGATGGTACCCATAGCCACAAGATGGCGGCGCCCAGTCCCCTCAGCCCCACTGGTATCCCCCCTACCCTCCGTAACACTTTTAGCCCTCTCCGCGGTGAGGGGTAAGCAGGCCCCTGCAGAGAGCAGACACCAGGGCCTGCACTAGTGTTGAGCAGGCAGGTCTGCAGAGAGCAGAGAACCACAGGGAACAGGCCTAAGCAGTCAGTAGGACATCCCCTGAGGGCTCCCAGATTGGAGAGGGTACAAGTCAGGCTGAGGGACCCATCCATCCTATCCTATGCACAAATTTTGTGCACCAGGCCTCTAGTATTTAAAGGATTACACAAAATACAGTAACACTAAAAACCACAAGTCAGACTTCTATCCTATTTAATAAAACCCTAATATGCAAATCAACCAAACAGCAGAACTGATCTCTATGACGCACACTGACCACAAAGGGCAGATGCTCGATGTAGGGTGGCACTAGACTGCCAGTCAAGGCAAGTTCCAAACGGGGGCCGCCCGATCACCCCACCCACCAGTCACCCCACAGATGGCCCTGCATTGAGCATCTGCTCCCCGAGGGAGGCAACTGGCAGCGGCGATCAGAGGGTGGGGCCAGCCAGCGGGCAGCACCAGGCTGCCAGCCAACGCAGGTGCCAGCAGGGGCTGCCCGATCTTCCTGCCCACCAGTCGCCCCACAAATCAGCCCTGATTGCCGGCCAGGCCTAGGGATCCTACCCTTATATGTTCTCCTTGGTCTTCTCACTTGTAGGCTAAGGCTACCTTTCCAGACAGTCCAATAGCTAAATCACTAGTTTCCAAGGGCATTTGCACCACTTATGGAAAACGTTAGATCCATGCACACCAGGTTTCCGTGATAACTCATCCCATCGTCCCCTGCAGAAAATTTGCTGCTCCAGCAGACAATAAAGCCAACCAATGAGCTTCTTTTCATTACCAATTAGATATAATATCCCTGACAACAAAACAAAGGACACAAGTGTCTCTTCACAGTATCATGGCCAGTTGAGACCAAGCTTGCCTACATGAGGACCCCTTCTTTTCTTCAGCAGCCAGGACTTACAGGAGATTATGACCTGTTTCACTGGAAGCCTTTCCCCAACTTTGTGGCTGAATAAAACAACAGCTTTGTACATGCAAAAAAAAAAAAAAAAGTTTGACTAAATATAACAAGCTAATTTTTAAGTTGATAATTTTGTACAGTCTGTGAATGTTATCAATATACAAATGGCCCTCCTGATCAAGACCCATATTGTCAACAGCATATTAGTATTGCCTAGACCAGTGGTCAGAAACTCATTAGTCAACAGAGCCAAATACCAACATTACAATGATTGAAATTTTTTTTTGAGAGCCAAATTTTTAACTTAAACTTTTTCTACCGCCACTTCTTCAAAAGAGACTCGCCCAGGCCGTGGTGTTTTGTGGAAGAGCCACACTCAAGGGGCCAAAGAGCCACATGTGGCTCACGAACCGCCGTTTGCAGACCACAGGCCTAGACACCTCAGTAATATCTCAAACCCAACTGTTTCTAATCTAAATTCTTATTACCCGACCTCATCCTCCTGCACTTGCTACTTTAACAGATATTTCCAGTCTCACTGAATGGCCCTAGTGCACTAATCAGAAATCCTCATTTCTACAGTCCCCAACTACAGCCACTTACACATTTCTCAAGTCAGATCTCGCCAATAGCAAACAGAGCCATTAATAAATCCAGCCTCTGATCTGTTTCTGACCCAGGCAAAATATTTTAATTGGCCACACTGATAACCTTCTGGTGCTTTGTGCTTCTCACCCTAACTTCCTTCTTTCTCAGCCTTGTTTGTTTTTAACCCCCTTTCTTCTGATTTCTTTAAAAACTAAGTTGGTTCTAGTGTCATGCCGATACCCCAAAGTTGTGGGTTCGATGGTGAGGGCACATATAAGAATCAACCAGTGAATACAGAAATAAGTGGAACAAATTGATGTTTCTTTCTCATCCTCCCCCTTTCTCTAGCTCAATTTTTTAAACATATGTTCTTACTGGTTTCGGAGAGAAGAATCTAAAATCAATTTTTTAAAAAAGACTAAAACTGAAATTCCTACAATACCCCTTAACACTGGGTATTTTTTAAGTTTATGTAATTTTATTCTGGTTATTACTCTGTTTAAAGAAAGCAAGAGAAAAAAATGAAAATGAAAGAAAAGTTTGACTAGAAGGATATTGAGACAGCTGCCTCTAAATCCTATTTCAGATTTCATTCTCTCTCAAATAACCATTCAGAGCAAATGCCAATTGATGTTTTTTATGTTCCAGCTACTGTTGCACATATAATTGCAGAGAAAATGTCAAAGCAATTCTCCAAAGGTTGTATAAACTATAAATAATAAGATCTTTTCAAGTCCTAGACTATCTCATTATGCATCTACTTTTCATGAATTCAAGGAATATCCCTCCCTACAATATACTGCTGCTTTGTTCTCTTTTGCCTTGTAAGAATTGTTTATCTCAATTTTAGTTTAGCTTAGTGGTTAAAGCCTCAGCCCACAAAGGGTCTTGGGTTCAATTCCTGGTTAAGAGAACATACATTGGTTGCAGGTTCCCCAGCCCTGGCAGGGGTGCTTTTGGGAGGCAGCCAGTTGATATGTCCCCAACTTTCCATTCTCTCTAGAAATCAATGGTAAATATCCTCAGGTGAGAGTTAAAATAAAAAAATTGAGAGAAGAGAGGGCCTTGATAGCCTAAAAGGAAGTGACCCAGAAAAGTATGGAGGTTAAGCAAGCCCAACTATAACCCTGAGCTCTAAGTACCAACCCTGATGACAAAGTAACAAGATTTGCTTTCATCCTATTTTTTTTTTCTCTTTGGACCAGTTTGTCATTAAGTTAAAAATAACTCTAGCCAGTGGTGCTCAGTGGTTAGGCTGTATAGTTTCTGCCCAAGCACCAAAGGGTCACAGGCTCAATGCCCAGACCCAACAGTGTGGGAGACAACCAACAAATGTCTCCCTCTTTCTCTCCCTCCCCCTCTTCCACTCTCTCTAAAAAGTCAATAGAATGCCTGGCTGGTGTGGCTCAGTGGTTGAGGTAACTGGTTTGATTCCCAGTCAGGGCACATGCCCAGGTTGCAGGTTCAATCCCCACTAGGGGGCGTGCAGGAAGATTCTTTCTCATCATAGGTGTTTCTAGCCTTCTCTTCCTCTCTCCCTCCCTCTCTCTGAAAATAAAAAACGCAACCTGCTCTAGTCATGGTTTTCTAAGCAAGCAAGTTATTCTGGCCATATTCTAATAGCCCTTCCTCATTACACCAGCTAAAAGTTCTCATATATTGATGTAGCCAAAAATGAATAACCAGTTGTTTCTAGGCTTTAGAAACTAAGATAGTTAAAGCAATACAACAAAAATATTAACCTACAATAGGCTGCTTATAGGTTCAGTTTCTCCTTAAAACCCACCTTGACTTAAATACAGTCAATGTAACATACTATTGTCAAATAATCACATCAAGAATTGATTCTGGAAGGCAACTATGTTCACCACTATACCACCAACGCCTTGTAGAATTGATTCTGATAGACCCTGGCTGGGTAGCTCAGTGTGTAAAGCACCATCCCTATAAGCCAAGGTTGCTGGTTCCATCCTGTCAGAGCACATACAAGAATCAAATGAGCCGAAACTGGTTTGGCTCAGTGGATAGAGTGTCGGTCTGCAGACTGAAAGGTCCCAGGTTCAATTCTAGTCAAGGGTATGTATATTGGTTGCGGGCACATCCCCGGCAGGAGGTGTGCAGGAGGCAGCTGGTCGATGTTTCTCATCAACGTTTCTAGATCTCTATTCCTCTTCCTTCCTTTCTGTGGAAAATCATTAAAATATATATTTAGAAAAAAAAAAAAAAAGATCATAGAGTCTAACCTGTTTGGCTCAGGGAATAGAGCGTCGGCCTGCGGACTGAAAGGTCCCAGGTTCGATTCCGGTCAAGGGCATGTACTTTGGTTACGGGCACATCCCCAGTGAAAGGTGTGCAGGAGGCAGCTGATCGATGTTTCTCTCTAATCAATGTTTCTAATTCTCTATTCCCTTCCCTTCCTCTCTGTAAAAATTAAAAAAAAAAAAAAAATCATAGATATTAAAAAAAAAAAGAATCAAATGAAATGGTGATGGGAAAAGACATGAGTTGGGTGGTGAACACACAATACAATATAGAGATGATGTATTATAGAATTGCACACCTTAAATAATAATAAAAATAGAAAATAAAAAATATTTTTTCAAATCAATAAGTAAATTAACTAAAAGTATTCTGATAAAGTGAATTTTCCCAACTAAGATCTACTGTCCTGCCTGAAGTACTATAGTAGGGAGTTAATGTAGCACAGATTCAGACACTGTACAAAATACGTAATCATCAATATATAACACCCAGTCATTAAGTGTGTGCTCATTCACTACTACTACTGTAAATTTAATGATGATGAATAATAATGTTTTTAAGAACACAACACACCACTTTAAGTCAATAAAACATCATATAAATTTGTTACAAAATATACATGCAATTAAAAGGTAGTACTTAGAAGGGAACTACTCAAATCCTATTAAAAACATAATTATAAATATAAATTAACCCCTAACCAGTTTGACTCAGTGGATAGAGCATCAGTCTGGGGACTGAAGGGTCCCAGGTTCGATTCCAGTCAAGGGCATGTACCTAGGTTGCAGGCACACCCCCAGTAGGGGGTGTGCAGGAGGCAGGTGATGGATGTTTCTCTCTCAGGGATATTTCTAACTCTATCCTCTGTAAAAAAAAAAAATAAAAAAAAAAATCAATAAAAAAAAAAAATATATATCTGGAAATAAAACAGTATTTCAAATGCAGTTGAAACCCAACCACCTACTTGTTCTCCTCTATGAAATCCCTAATAGTCTAATAAAAAATATGCCAACCTGATAAACACAAAATACAATAGTTTAAAAACCCTCCTAAAGTGTTTCCACTTGTAGACACTCCCAAGTGGGCAATATACCCAATATGTAACACAACTTATGAATTCCTTTGTTAAAAAGGTTCTACAAATACTGGTATGGGAATTTTTTATTAAACACATGCCACTTTATAAGTTTCAGGCTTCAGTTTTCAACTGTCATCATTAAGAGGAACACTTCATATATATCATATTTCAAAGATTTTAGTAAATTATATGAAAAAGCTTGAGCTGCCAGTTCTAAATTAGCTAGCTACAGCCACTTTTATATGGCTCAGTACTTAAAGGACTTATCGTTTATCTCTTCTCTATCATGTTTCTTATACTCCTTTAGAATCATACATGAAAAATTAACATCTGATAATATGTTTGTGTGAGGAATCAACTGCTCAAAAGATGACATTTGAATGACATTTGATATGACAGATTCCGACAAGTAATTTTTCACTTTATCAATGTTTGGAATGTTGTTTTTTTAAAAGGAGGGCAACCTTAGAATAATACACTGAAAATCCCAACAGGACAAGAAAAAGAGCCAGATTAGGATCACCACCCCTCCCTTAAATGGATCTTATACCACAAACTGACACAAACGTGGACTAACATCATTAAAAAGGAGCAGCATTCCATGGTTTTAATTTAGGTACAGGGAGGAGGTAGGAAAAGCAGTGGATTCTACTCCTGACTCTCATCATTTACAGTGTGTGTCCATCTCAACACTCTGGGACCACCTGGCAAAGCAGGCAGGAGAACTGAACATCTCCCAGACCCATTCAGCTCTAAGATGCTATGATTATATTTTAAGATCCTTCCTATAGCATGGACTCACTTTCCAAGTTTCTTTATACGTAAACACCCAATAGTCACAAACTGCAATCAAACAAGAATGAAATTACCCTACAAATTACTACATTAGCGCTGGCCAGGTGGCTCAGGTAGTTGGAGTGTTCCTCTGGAACAACAAAAGGTTTTGGGGTTCCTATCCAGGTCAAGGCACTTACCCTAGGTTGTAGTTGATCTCTACTACCTACCGGCATATACAGGAGGCAGTGTTTCTTTCTCTCTCTCTCTCTCTCTCTCTCTCTCTCTCTCTCTCTCTCTCAAATCAATAAAAACATCCTCAGGTGAAGACTTTTTTAAGTACATTAAAGGGGTGAACAAACAAAAAAATGAAATCAAATTATACCCCTCACCTAGGCACTTCCTCCTCTGTACAAAAGCAAGCAGAAACTATAATAAATCAAGTCCTACCAAAAGTGAAGGGCTGACGAAACTAAATACATTAGCCTTCTTGAAGCTTTCCGTACATCAAAGAGTGACTCAAAAATCTTTTTTTTTTTTTACACAGAAGCGTCAAAAGAACTCAACTGGCATCCATTAAAAATAATAATAATAAAAGTTGTACAACTTTTAACCAAAAAACTAAGCCTGTTCAAGAAGACAATGATTAGAGAGGATGCTTAGTATATAAAGCATCAGCCTCGTGATCTTAAGCTACAACATAAAAACTCGAAGGATGTCTTGGTATCTATTTTCTTAATTTTACTTAAAAACAATCACCAATCTTCTTCATCGTCAAAATTCCAAACCTGTGCATGCGTACGGAAAGACATCAGCTCCTCCAAAGTAACTTTCCCTCTACGTCTGGAACTTTATTCTTGGTTTTTTTGTGCTTCACTATTCTGTCCCCTAAAAGTCCACCAGAAGAAAAGCACAAGTGCCCCCGCAGAGACCGGGTAAAACGCAGACGAGACTCATACAAGCCGGATCACGCGGCCACATGGGTACCATTTTAAAAACTTCACTTGAAGATTTAATTTAAAAAAAAAAAAAGCAAAGGAGATCCCTATGGCTCCTGGGTCGAAAGCCAACCCGAGGGAAGGGGTGTGGTGGTGGGGGTCGATCCTCGGCGAGGCCCGGGGACAAAGTGCGGTGCGGGGGAATGGAGGGCGCGGGGCTCCGCAGCGCCCGGTCCGGCGCCGGTCCTCACCTCGCCGCCCGCCTCCCCGCCCAGAGCCGCGGGCTCGGACTCACGGCGTAGGCCCGCGGGCATCGGCACGCTGACAGCTGCCGCCCGCGCGGGGTTGCGGGGCCCCGGGCCCGAGGAGCCCCCTGCCCACCCCGCGGGCGGGCGGCCAGGCCGGCGCGGCTGGAAAAGGATACTCCCGGGTGCGGAAGGCCTCCTGAGTGTGCGCGATGGTGAAGAGCGGCTCTTCGCCGGGAAGCGGCTTCACCAGCGGGAAGGGCTTGCGGCCCAGGAGCGGCGCCATCGCGGCGGTGATGTCGGCGGCGGCGGCAGCAGCAGCAGCAGCAGCAGCGGCGGCGGCGGCGGAGACAGCGGCTGCTCCGCGAGTCCGCGGAGCAACACTAGGCCCCGCGGCCCGGAGCGAGCGCCAGGATCCCGGGAGTAGAGTGGGGGAGGGGAGGGGTGAGAGGGCGGCGAGAAATCAGCTCCCTCGCTGGTGGCGCGGCTGCGGGAGGGCCCAGGAACGGGACGCGAGGACGCAGAATTCCCGCGCGCACCGCTGCGCAGGCTGGCAGCCTCCAGCCAACCTTCGATACTGGTCCCCGCGTTCGGCAGTCACGACTCCTTAGCTGCACAGGAGGAAATTATTGAAAAATGGCGGGAGATTCCCCTCCTCCCCACCCCCCCCGCCGGCCGAGACACACACTAACTTGCTCGCCTGTGGCGCCGGTGGCGAATGCTCCAATAGGCGGAGGGCTAGCCAGCGCTCACAGCCTATTGGCTCAGGGGAACTGCCGCTCTGCGCTCGGGTCCAGCCCCCTTCCCCGACTGCGTAGTTGGGTTGCAACGCACTAGAGGGCAGTATGAAGAGGTGAAAGGTCACGTTATGTAAGCACCGGTGACTGGCGCGCAGGACTCCAGCAGTGGAGTTGAAAGTGGGAGGTAGCATTTGAACCGAAAAGTAGGAAATTCAAGGAGGTGAGACAAGAGAAGCCCCCTAACACGTATACACACTACGCCATCTGTGACACTGACGGCGACACCGACATCCGGGCATCACTGTCCGTGTGGTGCGCTGGAGGGGGGAAGGGGAACGCGCGACCAGGGGCTTTGTCTTTCCACTTGTGCTCCGCCCCCTTCTTAAAGGCGCCGCGCTCGGCCACGCCCGGAGATGCGCGCGTGGAGCAGATGGGAGGAAGGTTTGGCGGGAAGTAACCCCAAGACCTTGTCCAAGTAAAGGTTCTCCAGGACAGCTTGAGCCCCAGCTTTGTTCACCCCAGAGTTTATTGCTGGATGAGAATGTGGTTGAGGTCTGGATATTGGTATGGTGCTACTTTCTAGGGGCTTGCTGGAAAGGATAATATGGAATTTCTCGGAAAAATGTGCTAAAGGACATACTTATTAAAGAGACACCCATTCCTTCAAATCATAATTACTAGCACCTACAATGTTCAGGGCCCTGTATTAGACTCTCCTGAAAAAAATAAGGGATAAATATGGTAATAGTTCTATGTGATGAGTACTGACCAAAGTAAGAAGCAATAACTGCCTGGAAATGACATTTAAGCTGCTTCTCTATGCAGACTATACCCACATAGTCCAAAGTCTGTTTGCGTATTCAATGCAATCAGAAACACATTGACTATAATTTTCTCCCTATTAAATTGTCTCCCTTGGTTAAAAGATCTTCAGTGGCCCCAGACATTCTTTGCAACCTTTTCAACAGGAATAGACTGCTGGTTGTCCATGAATGCAGCATGCTAATACCAGATTTATTCTCCTTTTGTTTTCACCTTGAGGTGAGAAGAGTACCCCCAGTAAAAGGTAGTTTTTGATCAAACCAGACGCCACTTCTGTGAAGCCTTCTCTGATCACTACCAGAAAAGGAAGGTCATCTTCCTTTAGTAGCCATTTCTTCTGAGAGGATTAGGTTTCTTCTCAGAGGTTATGGTATTTGAGTTGATTGTAAAAAGCTAAGTTGCACTTGACTAGACCGAGAAATGAGAGAAACATTGTAGGTAGAGGGAACAGCAGGGCAGAGTTGGTAAATTCAGGACATGTGCCTAAAACATAGGGGTTTTGAGGCAAAAAATACCAAGAGATGGAAATGGCAAAAGAAGTGATCCCCTTGGCCACAGCATGTGATGGTTGGAGTGGCCACTTAGAAGAGAACTGCAGTTGTTTGGGGCAGTGATTCCAAGGGCCTCAAATGTAACAAGATCAGTGGAGACAGGCAGAAAGATTTGAGAGGCGCAGACTAGATGACTAATGGGATAGACATTTGAAGGACTAGATAGCTAAGAGCCGACTACACACATAGTAAATACTCCAGAAACATTTAGAAAAACAAAACAAAACAAAAATTAAAAAAACAAATATTTGAAAAAATTTTTGTATTTCAAAAACAGCATCTAATTGTCCACAAGAATGGGCACCATAATCATTTCCGCACCTGGTGTTCGGAATCCAGCCCTAGTGTTGGCAGAGCTCTAGAAAGGAAGACTCAATAATGTGCTCACTGGAGAGCCATCCAGAACACAGTTGGAATTTTTTTTTAATTTTTTTATTAAATTAATATCTGTGTACATATTCACAGTTGGGATTTTTGAAGCTAGAGATGCAGATTTGTGAGGATGGGTTATCAGCTAGAGCCCCAAAATGAGTTAATAAGGGCCTCCCCAAATAAAGAACAGTGCTTACCTTGGAGAGGTATAATTATGGTTGGTTTTCTTTTTTGTTTTCTACAGTGATTATGTATTCGTTTACAATATATTTTTTTAAAATATATTTTATTGATTTTTTATAGAAAGGAAGGGAGAGGGATAGAGAGTGAGAAACATTGATGCAAGAGAAACATTCATCAGCTGCCTCCTGCACGTCGCCACTGGGGATGTGCCTATAACCAAGGAACATGCCCTTGACCGGGAATCGAACCCGGGACCCTTTAGTCCGCAGGCTGACACTCTATCCACTGAGCCTCACTGCTTTTGGCCGTTTACAATATTTTTAAGAAAACCTTTAATGTGACTCTTGCTTGGTGTATGTCCTCTATTTCTATGTCTCAAATTTATAAACAATGGAACTGATTAACACAAAATTTTAACATTTGTACTGAAGATGTCAAAAAAAAAAAAGAGACTGGTTTGGCTCAATGGATAGAGCTTGAGAACTGAAGGGTCCCGGGTTCGATTCCAGTCAAGGGCATGTACCTTGGTTGCGGGCATATCCCCAGTAGGGGGTGTGCAAGAGGCAGCTGATCGATGACTCTCTCTCATCGATGTTTCTAACTCTCTATCTCTCTCCCTTCCTCTCTGTACAAAATCAATAAAAATATATTTTAAAAAAAAGGGAGCCCATGCCCTTTTGGATTAGTGGATAGTACCTCAGCCTGCAGACTAAAAGGTCCCAGGTTTGATTCTAGTCAAGGGCACATAGCAGGGTTGGGTATATACATACATGTACACATACACACACTAGTGGCCCGGTGCACGAAATTCATGTGTGGGGTGGGTGTGACCTCTAGCCCAGCCTGCATTCTCTCCAATCTGGGACTCCTCAGAGGATATCCAATTACCGGTGTAGGCCTGATCCCACAGGATGTCCCTCTCAGAATCTGGGACCACTGGCTTCTAACTGCCCGCCTGCCTATCTTCTTGATTGCCCCTAACCACTCTGGCTGCCGGCCTGGTCACCCCCAACTGCTCCCCCCCACCACCGCTGGCTTGACCACCCCCAATTGCCCTCCCCTCCTGGCCTGATCACCCCTAACCACCTCTGCCTAGGCCCCACCACCATAGTTTTGTCCAGAAGGATATCTGGGAAGGTCTCCCAATCTAATTAGCATGTTACCCTTTTATTAGTGTGGGAGTACATACACACACACACACACACACACAAAGTAGGTCCTCAGGTTACATCGGAGATCTGTCCTACAGCTCAACTTAACTCGATTTTCGCTGGAACCCACCTACATAAGCACCTATGTCACTCACATGGAGCACATACACAGCAGTAATGAAGTGAAACAGTAAAAAAAAAATTAAAAGATAACAATTCCTGACCTTTACTTGTGGTAAATAAATAATAAAAAACATAAAGCACATATATGTCAAAATGACAGAACTTTTTTTTTATAAATAAGTGGGAAATGGCGACATAACCACATAACTCTGTCTGCAGATGTATAGCACATTTCCCCATGCAGTTCTCCACTGGGTAGTTTTCTGACAGGAGCTCAATGAACAGGGTCTGTTTTTGTGGTCTATGTCCTATGGAGCTGTGCTCTGCCACACATTGGTGCTTCACTGATGCTTAAACACTTTCAGCTTCTGGCTGGTCTTCTGGCCATTCTGTTGGTTCCTCAAACTAAACACATCCCAAAAACACAGTTCAATTTTTTTTAAATATATATATTTTTTATTTAAGAGAGGAAAGGAGAGGAAGAGAGAGATAGAAACATCAATGTCAAACAATGTCAAGAGGGAATCATTGATTGGCTGCCTCCTGCATGTTGGACCAAGCCTGCAATCCAAGCATGTATCCTTGACTGGAATCAAACCTGGGATTCTTCGGTCCACAGGCCAACGCTCTATCTACTGAGCCAAACCGGCTAGGGCTTTTTTTTTTTTTTTTTTTTTTTTTTTTTTTTTTTTTATTGATTTGGAAGAGAGGGAGAAGAGAGAGACAAACACTGATTTGTTGTTCCACTTATTTATGCATTCATTGGTTAATTCTTGTTTTTCCCAATATTTTTATTGACTTCAGAGAGGAAGGGAAAGGGAGAGATAGAAACATCAATGATGAGAATCATTGCCTCCTGCACACACCCTACTGTGGACGAAACCCACAACCCGGGCATGTGCCCTGACTGGGAATCAAACTGTGACGTCCTGGTTCATAGGTTGAAGCTCATCCACCAAGCCACACCAGCTGAGCCATTGTTTGATTCTTTATATGTGCCCTGACCCAGGAAGGAATCTGCAACCTTGATTTATTGGGATGACACTCTAACCAACTGAACTACTGGCCAGGGCCAAAACCACAGTTTATTATTTCCCTGTCCTCCATCATTGGCTTTCTCTGGGCATTTTTATTTTACTTTATTAATGTGTATGTTTTTATTGATTTGAGAGAGAGTGAGAAACATCAATGTGAGAAGGATCGATCGGTTGCCCCACACACATACTGCGAACCTGCAAACTGGGTATGTGCCTTAACTGGGAATTGAACCAGGGGCCTTTTAGTGCATGCAATGAAGCTCAACTAACTGAGCCACACCAGCCAAGTCTGGGTGTTTTTTTATTT